GTGTGTGTCTGTGCTTGTGTGTCTGGGGGGGAGAGAGTGTGTGTGTCTGTGCTTGTGTGTCTGGATGGGAGAGTGTGTGTGCGTCTGTGCTTGTGTGTCTGGGGGGGAGAGAGTGTGTGTGTCTGTGTTTTTGTGTCTGGGGGGGAGAGAGTGTGTGTCTGTGCTTGTGTGTCAGGGGTAGTGTTTCTGTATCCTGTGACTGTATTTGACAGGCTGCGGAGTTTAGATCGCCAGTGAGATGTGTCTGATTGTGAGGTGTGTGACTGTGTGCCTGCGTGTTACCAATCTTGACTATGTAGGTATGCATCAGAGCTACAGTACATAAAGCCTCTTCAAGGGGTGTCTGTCATTTCTCCATGCCTGTGCTTTGCAAGCTCCTGTTTTTCTGTGCTGCTACCCTGCAGCTGTGTCACCCTTTCACCCGTGTCTTTTGCATGATTTCACCGCGGACAGGCCTTCACGCTGCTTTTATCACAGTGTGTGACAGTCGGCCTTTGTAAGAGAAGATAGGCTGAAAGAAGCAGAGGGGGGGTCTTAATATCGGAGCCAAACGTGGTTTACATTTCCAGTCTGTTGGCACTCGTTTGCCGGGGCCTGAAGATGGTGTGGTTTCTGCACGCAGGGCAAGTTCACCACAGCGAGTGACGCGTGGGCCTTCGGCGTGACCCTGTGGGAGATCTTCACACTGTGCAAAGAGCAGCCCTACAGCCTGCTGTCGGACGAGCAGGTGATCGAGAACACGGGGGAGTTCTTCAGGAACCAGGGCCGGCAGGTACGCTCACCTGGGGAATGGGGGGGGCACGCTAGGGTGTAATGTTCCCACCCCCCGGTCTGCCAGACAGACACAGACCTCTGGGCTTTAAAAATATACATATTGCCTTTTAAACTGACACGTAGAGGCATCTGGGTGCCCCTCAACATGAGTGAAAGGCACTATATGAAAATAATCTTCTATTATTACAACTTTATAAAGACTGGGCACAGGACCGGATTTTGGTGTTCATGGGTCCCAGGCTCTTTAACCCCGAAATGTTCAAAAAGAGGGTTAAACGCCAATTGGAATGACGTCGACTGACGTGATGCTCTTTCAACTATTCTAATGCTAATAGTTGAATGCTGGAGGAGCCCAGAATCCTAGGCTCAGAATAAGATAAGATCAGATCACTTTACTGGCTCTATACAATTTCTTGCATTAGGAATGTGTCTTTTCGCTGACCCCAGCTTGCTCTCCATGAGACACACAGACAGGGAGAGAGAAGCTGGGGGTCAGAGCACAGGGTCAGCCATTTATACGGCGCCCCTGGAGCAGTTGGGGTTAAGGGCCTGGCTCAGGGGCCCAACGGAGTAGGATTCCTCTGCCGGCTGCGGGATTTGAACCGGCAACCTCCCAGCCACAGATCCTGAGCCACAGAGCCACCGCTCCATTGCGGTCGCTGGTGCATCTCGTGCCTGAGAGCCGGGGATTCGGCAGGAAGCTCGGAAAGCTTGCTGGGCTGCCCAGGTCTTCCTGCGGAGGCCGAGTTTGGGGCGCGGCGGCTCTCCCTCTCACTCTGCCCCTCTCTTCCCTCCCCCAGATCTTCCTGTCTCCGCCCCCGCTGTGCCCGGCGCCCCTCTTCGAGCTCATGCTGCGCTGCTGGAGCCGCGACATCAAGGACCGGCCCACCTTCGAGCGTCTGCATCAGGCCCTGCGGGAGCACGCCGCCTAGGGGGGCGGGGCCAGCACACGCAGGGAGGGGGGGGAGTGGCCTCGATGCTCAGCACACCTGTGTGCACTCCCAGGGAGCCGCCCCCCCCCCCACATCTGGCACACCAGGTCGCTGCGGGAGACTGGAGGGGGGCGAGATTCCCTGGACAAACTCCGATGTCTTCCCTTCTGCCTCCATGGAAAGCCCATGTCAGACATGCAAGTGGAGTTGGAAGTACCCCAAGTGTACAGACACACGGAGGGGGTTCACCCCCGGACCCCATCCTCCTACAAAGGCAGTGCGTTGTCTCGCACCCCGTGGCAGTTCTGGAAGGGCTGGGCTGCTGGAGTGCAGTTTTCCTGTGGAAGAGGGGGCGGGACTCTTGCAAGGGCAGGGCACTGCCCCGCCCACCCTGCCCCTTCACTGATTGGACCAGGGTTAAGTCACTCTTCCGGGTCGCCGTGGCAACCAGAGAACAGGAAGAGGCCTTACTTATTCCTTCCCTCCTCTTTGGACTCGGTGCGATCGGCATGGCGCTTTTAAAAAAAAACACAATTCCATTGCCTTCTATCCAAAGCGTATATACACTCCCCTTAAAACACGGGAGGCAGACTCTGAGCAGAGACCGAAATGAGCAAGCCCTCCTGTGTTTGGTGAGTTTCTGGACTTCTGATTGTGTGTGCGTCCTGTGGTTTTTATATCGTAAAGCACTGCTGTCCGTTTGTTTTCACCATTTTTATTTTCCTTTTTTTTTTCCCTCCCCCACACTGGAGTTTTTTTTGTTTTGTTTTGTGGAGTATTGTGTATTTTGTTTGCTCGTGGCTATGAATGTTCTAAAGGTTTTTTTTTTTTGGAGGTCAGAAGGGGGGGAGGGGAGGGGATGTGGCCTCTGACCTTTGACCTCTGACCTCTGAATGAAGCAGAACTACTGTCATGGAATGGGATAAGAACCTTGACTGACCAGAGGATTGTGGAGCCCAAATGGACTGACGTGCGATGGACGCTGACTCCCTTCGGAGCACCGATGGTGCC